ACACTTCGCCAGAGCAAATGACAACCCGATTATCAGAGGTTCTGAATTCAAACAAGATCAATTTAAATACATTTAAAACATTTGCTCTATCGAAAAGCTGTAGAAAGGAAGAAGACATTGTTATTTTCCAACAGATCCTGAAGGGCTACTGCCTCTGCATACTTCTACACATCATCTAATTACGAAACCCAAGAAAGGCTTATCTCATTTTCTGCAGTGTCCCAGCAACTGTAGCAGCAGACAACACAACGGAAGCTTTTACCACACTTCTCAACAGCAGGAAAATGGAAGTGTTTCAGTCAGAATCACTGATACAGTTAGACAGCACACATAACTGGTTGGAGGATCTAATCCTAGACTTCAGGACTAGACTGGAAAATCAGTTGGCTGTGTAGCATCTGTTATGTAGAAAAATGTCTGAATTTTTCTGTTAAGAAACGTATACGCGTAATTATATTCATTTAAGAAAATTAGAATTATATTATATATTTGAGTTATTAGTTTATTTTATTAATACTTTGTTTACTGAATTATTGACCGAAACCAGTGCTTCAATACTATTTTTTTAGGTCTTTAAATTTAATAGGAAAGTTCGTAAAAATACGAAAAAGATCTGTATGTAAAAGAATCAGGAAGGCTAGCAAAGCGAAATTTTTGCTGCCTTATTCTGTTTGCATAGTACGAGAAGCAAGTCGAAAGTTGTAGAATGTTTTTAGTATTTTCTTTCGCTTGCCAGCGGGATGGCGTACGTGAGAAGTTCAAGGATTAATATGAGGTTACGCGAAAAGCTCAACAGTTATAGGCGAAAGACGTGTCCACTGTTGGCTATTGGTTCTGACATTTCGCTTCTATTTCAACTTTGAACATTTTGTTCGCTTCTATTTCAACTTTGATGAATATAATGCCTTCTTTTAGTTTTTCTGTAACATATTTAGCATGTAAAATCGTCCCTATGCTATTTTTGAGATACCCAGAAAGTTTCACGTTTTCAGGTCTAACCTTTCAGCATCAGAATATGTGAGAAACCCTGTTGGACGCCAGCGAATAGTTCGTTTTCAGCTGCTTTCGTGTTACTTCGTAAAAGCTAACAGCAAGAAATGGAAATCTCCATATTCATTAGCTTTCTATACGTATATTTTAAGATGCGAATCATAACAACTTGATTTGGGGGGGGGGGTTCGCAGGGATAACTTTGCGAGTCCTAAAGTTTTGGACACATAGTTACGAAAAATAGAGAGAATTCAATATCTATTTCGGCTATCTGGTATAGAACTGTTTACAACAAAATAAAGATAACACAAGTTAAAAGAATCGAATCCTAAGTGAAACTAAGCATTTAATTTTCATTTTAATTCTTTTTTAATTAGTTTTTCATTTGTTTTTTACATATATATTTATTTTTTGTAAGGTTTAGTATGGTAATTATCAGAATTATTAATCATTAGACCTCTCGAAGATATAATTATATCCATTATGATGTTGCAAATAAAAAATAAGAACACGCAATTTTTTTGAAATAATACTTAAAAGATATATTACTACTTGCGTCATTTATAAAAAATATTTGCTTCTTAAATGGAGCAAAAAGTATGGAAACTCAAATCACATTTCGAAACGTACAATGTAGCAAAACGGATCGAAAATAAGATACAAAATATCCGTAGAGTTTATGTGACATGGAAATATAAAACCCTCCGGATAAATTCCTTTTTTAAGATTCATAGCATGACAGATTAATATGTTTCTCACTCGTCACGAGCACAAAAAATAGTTTTGACTGGTATTTCTGTGTAAATAAGATATATTAAATCCATATTCTGTAAAATGATTTCAGCAATGCTGAGCACAAGAAGGTGAAATAGTAAACTTTGATGATCATTACAGTCAACATTTTTGTTCTAACAGTACTGAATTAAAACAAGAGCATAATAACTCAAAGCTGCCTCTACAATTTGAATGGAAAGTTAAAACCATTAATTACTCAATATAGCCTGTTCAATTTGAATAGAACGTTTGTATGTTTTATTGAAAATACCAGTTATGAATGACAAGAAAACATGCTAGCACGTGACAGAGGTTATGCAATTGAAATTATATTTTAAAAGGGTAATTTATTTATATAAATTATCTTCGGAAAATAAAAGTGCTAGTTCTGTTGTTGAATTGAGAGCTTGGCAAATTTAGGCTAAAAACAAAACTAATGAATTCAGGTAATGTTAACGTTTTATTTGTGGTTTTCAGTTTATAACTTTCTGCATTCACTGTTTTGAAAATAAGGGATATATAATTTCAGATAAATGTTGTTTCTGGTTATTTAATACTAACAAACGTCTCGGTAATAATACGAGCTTTTATTAAATTAATTTAAAGGTAATATAAAAATATTAAAATAAGAGAAACACTTCTTCTAGCGCAAAATGCAACCTTTCCTGGGTAATTGCTATTGGATATTCCTTTCCCTTTTCATAAAGCATTAAAATTCAAAATGCGCAAGATTTTCTTAGAAAATAATTTAACCGTTGTGTTGTTTGTTGTTATGCTGTTATCATTTTAAACTTTTCTATGTTTATTTCAGCCTGCTCTTTTTATCGTAAATGCTTTGATAAATTATCATGTTTTGCAGAAGTGACGTCATGCTTTTCATGCGTTTTACGTTCATATGTTACGCGTTTGCATGTTCAGATTGGTACACAGTAAATAGTTTTTCCTGTTGTTGCACACAGACAGAAATCGCGCGAAGGTCAGTGAAAAGATTGAAATATTGAGTAAGAAAGGATTTATGGATGTTCATATGGGATTATCCTCGTCCATTTAGGTGATGCAAAGTCCAGAGCCATATGAGAAAACGTGGATTGCCCCCAATCTGAAAAAAGGGGAACAACATTTACTAGAATTACATAGCATCCAATGATAACGAATAATGAAATTAAAAAGAAATAGCTGGAAGAAAGGTTACAGAAATGAACCAGCGTTAAACGTATTTACAGCTGACTAAAAGGGTATTGTACGTAAAAGGGTGAAATTAAAAACAAATATAAATGCTAATCAAGACATGGTCAGATTTAAGGAAATTAGAAAGGGCTAAAAATTTGATACATCCAGACAATATATTTAAACATTGTGAACATTAAAAACTCGGTATTCATGTTCACATCGACCTACTTAAAAAAACATCCCAGAATTGCACAAAAATGGCATTGCACACTCCTTTGACTTTATCCATGTACACATCAACCTATTTTCACAAAAAAAAAAAAAAAAAAAAAAAAAAAAAAATCCCAGAACTGCACAAAAATGGCATTGCGCACTCTCTTGACTTTCTTCATGTACACATCGACTTTTTCACTTAAAAAGTCAAAGAAAATTGACAAAATTTAATTTTTCTTACTCTTGTAAAAAGCGCTTTTTAATAACAATAAGTGGGAAATTTTTAAAACTGAAAATCCTTTCAAAAAAACCTAATAACTTTAAAAATTAAAATCGTTTCAAAAACATAGTAAGTTTAAAGAACATAAAATGCTTACAAAAGCCTGAAAAATTAATACTTTCACTTCCAAAAAATTTTAAAATATGAAAATCCAGTCCTTATAAAAACATAATTTTAAAAACTAAGAATCGTTTCAAAAACATAGTAAGTTTCAAACACTTAAAATCGTTACAATTACTGAAAATTTAAAATACTTTCATTTACCTGAAAAGGGGTAATCCACTCCACTCAGCCGATGAACGAAAAGTAACGAATTCTAAAAATGTTCTAGAATTATTGTTTAAAATAACGGTACAGCTTGAGTATAGGACCCCATTGGCGATTTTTGTCTTGGCGCACTTTTTGGACGGTTGTTTTTCTGGTGACCCAGTAAATTATAGAATACTCCACTTCGGCAACCCTGTCGCACTCCCGCGTGTGTTAAACCGGAAAGTGTCATTTTCTTTGAAGGAGCAAAATATTGATGTATTCAACAAATTTTTCGAAATTGTAAGGGACATAAATTGGGCAGAGTATAGGATTTCTTTGTAAATTTACCATGATTTTGTAAACTTTACTAAATTTCCAGCATTTCTTTTATTTTTAATTTAAACATGTATTCTGAACTGTTTTCAGTTTTATAACTTAAAACTTGCATTTTCAATATTGCTGCTTAAAATATGCTTCCATGTACTTGTGTATTTTAAAACTTTTCTTTACTTTTAATTTAAACATGCATTCTTAACTCCTATTTTCATATTTTTAATTTAAACATGTATTCTGAGCTCCTATTTTCAATTTTACAGCTTGTAATTTGTATTTTCAGTTTGATTGCAAAAAATATGCCATTATTTATTTATTTTCAGTTTCACTGTTTAAATATATATTCTAAATTTGTATTTAAAATTTTTCTTGTTAAAATGTGTATTCTAACATCTATTTTCAATTTTAACTGCTTTTACAAGGCTAAACTTGTATTTTCAATATTACTACTTAAAATGTGCCTCTACTTACTTATGTACCTTCAAATTCGCTGTTTAAACATATATTCTAAAATTTTTTCTGGTTGAAACCTACTTTCTAACTTGTGTTTTCAATTTTAACGGCTTGGTCGCCAAGCCAAAAATCGCCAATGGGGTCCTATGCTCAACCTGTTCCAAAATAACTGCACCTCTACCATCTATTATCGTCTACACCAAACAGAAATTCTAAGTTTTAAAATACGTACTGAGCGCGCGCTTAAATGCTCCGAATTTCGCGCTCAAAAGAAATTCTCAATTTAAAATACATACTACGCGTGCGCGAAAATGCTGTGAAATTCGCCTTCCAGAACGGCAAAATCGACTTGGACACCACATTTGGCTCACTTATCATTCTCTTTAAAAGCGCCAAACACAAGGCGCTAAATAAGTAGGCGATTCTACACTTTAGCCATAAAAGTTTCTTTTTATGCTTGTTTCAAATGCTGGATATCCTAGAAAGAAAAACTGAAAGAAACGCACAAAATTTAAAAGGTATTGACAAATCCTCTCACCTTTGTGAACTTTTCCAAAGCAACCTTCTCCAATTTCTTCCAAAAAAATTATATTTTCATGCGGGATCTCCATATCTCGAAGAGCTTTAAGTAGTGGCCCATCCGGAGAACCAGAATAATAGTTAGGATTGGTGACATACTGTTGCATACACTTGCTAAGAGACATCGCGGCAGTACTTCTGACTCTTCCACCCGGCAACCACCAACAGAGATGATTCCTGTGACGACGATAAATGAAGATGATTAAACTAGCTAGCGAGACGACGAAGAACGAGAGCAGACATGCAATGATGGCCGTTGAGGGTCCGTAATAGCCCAACGGTGTTTGAAATGGAAATACTGAATTTGTGATGTTACCGCCATTCTGAAAAAGAATGCACTACGTAAGATGTGGTTTCAAAATATTGCTAATTATAAATTATATATTACTAAATTTTTTCTTATTAACAACTTAGATACCAATGTTTCCAATTAGAAAACCTTTATGAAAATTTCGAAGTTTTATGAAATATGAAACAAAATCTGAAAGGTTTCATATTTTAAATTACGTCCAAAGGAGCTTTTTTTGTAACATTCTGTGTGTTACATTTATTTATTAAATATAGCGTTCTTCACACTTGAGCCATAAAATTCAGTTCAACAGCAATATCGCAAAATAGTTTTAAAATGAGCATATCTTTAGAATTTCCGATACAGAGTTTCGCGCGCTGGAGATAAAAATGTTTTTTCTTTACAACGTTGCCATTGCTCGCTTTGAAATCCTTGAGTTTGTTAATCAAAAATTCGTTAAAGTTTTATAAAATACGAAATTGATAATAAAACAAATTCCAGATTGGGTCTTCCACATTCGTAGGGGGATTATGTCATTCAAAATTCGATGACTCTATGTACCGTTGTTTTATTACAATGCGAGAAATATACATATATTTATGCAGATTTTTCATTATTTAATGTCTTCAAATATAATGCAGGACTCTAACATTTGGTGCCAACAGTTCGAAAAGTGACGGACATTTATATTGAACCAACGCAAAATAGCAAAACGAAAACAATAGTCCTTCAGGAACAAAGCTCCTTTGGACTAAAAAATACTTATATTAACGTTTTTCTATATAAAAAGTAAAAATCACTTATTCAGATACTGCTTGTATGGAGTTATATTGTAAAAGTATTTGTATGCCAATTCCAGAATATTTAAATTGGTAGCGCGCGTGAAGGAATGTAAATTCTACCTTGTGGAGAAAGAGTTTAAATACCGAGTTTTAGAAGGAATTTAGAGAGAGTTAGGCTATTATGTCACTTCTGTAGCATAAGCTTCTAATTTCGCATTTATTGCTGGTTTACGTGGCATAACAGCATTTACTTTGCTGTCACTAAATTAGACCCGGGTTTAAGAAACAGGAATATCTAAGCCCTGTAACTTAATTTCTACTACTTGTGAATATCTTCGAATTTTTGTTTTAGTTCTTGTGATTTGAGTTACCTCCCAAGCGAGGCATAGTGTGTTAGCGTCGAGTCGACGCAGTGTGAATTTTTAAAAAGTTTAATTAAGGGTACTTTTAACCTTTCTCCTGTGTAGTTCCTACAAGAGCTTTCTACACGTACACTTGTCACTTAGGAGATAAGCAAGTGGTTCCTACCTAGTTTGATTTTCTGAGTACCGCACCATACTGTCATAAAGAAGTGTTCTGAGGGATCCGATGTATATTTTGTAATCCTGGAAACGTGCTCTCCAGATATTAATTTTTTGCTTCATGACGTCCACAAACAATGGTTTGCAAAAGAACTGACGATTTTTAGCTAGTATTTTGAAAATGACTTGTGACATCAAATCACTCGAAAAATCTTATTTGAATCATCTTTTGAAAATTATATTGTAAACAGTGGGGGGGACTTAACTTCCAAAAGACAATATTTTTGTGAAGGATAATTACGTGCTAACAAACTATCCATGTAGTTAGATACATATTTATGTATGTCATATGAAATACAATAATTTCGTAAAATAAATTTCACATGAAATTTAAATATTGAATCACGGAAACTGAATAACTGAAATTTATAACTGAAAATAATAAAATGGAATTTAAGCGTAATGAAGCAAAATTTTTCTCATAATAAGATCAATCATTTATTTCAAATTTCTAAGATTAATAACTGAGCACTTAATACACCGTATATTTCTACAGTAAATACAATGAAATCTCTATGGAGATCGCTTTTAAAAGTGGGCAATATTTCTGAGAATATAAATAAGCATTGATATTGAACATCACCTATAATCACATTCTCCAAGGCGACCATTTCCACAGAAAAAAAAAAACATTTGAAAACGTGCATTTTGTTTGGGTGGTTTCTCTGTAACACGAGTAATTGAAAAAATATGTCTAAGATTGTTAATTATTTCAAATCAGTATTTTGTTTGTTTTTTGTGGGTTATATTATTCTCATTCTAGTAACAACGCACACTATGAGAAAAAATATACTGCTTTCTGAAGTATATTTAGTTATTTGTTGATTTTGATATTTATTATCATTCAAACCCATAAATAAACATACTCGATTTCAGTTTCTTAAATTCTTTATACTTTACGATGAAAATATAAGAGTAAAAAATTCTTACAATTCGTAAACTAAACAAGGTTTTTGTTGACTTCTTGTTTGTATATGAATCATATAATCAAGGTATAGTAGATGACTGTCTTCCATTCCATCCAGTCATATATGCACAGATCACAAATGGGGGGATGACATTTACAATTCAATCATCAATATCTGCGTTTGCATTTTTTTTTTTTTTTTTTGTTTTTGTTTATTGATGAAAGCGTATTTTTCTTCTAAATCTAACATATTTCCTGATGACTAAGTTCAGAGAATATTTGTTAACTACCATAACCATCTAGTTAGTCTAATTTGTTATAATCTTATGCTTATTAAGTGTTTATGGTATATTTTTAACGTTACTTTTAAGAATTTTTCACCTGTTGTTTTCTTTGTTTTAATGCTACAAATTCTCAAAATTTAATAGTATTCTGCAGTTTCTGGTGTGATTACAATTCAGCAATTCACCAAAATATTTACTGATTTTAGTATGAAAATTTATTCATGTCTCATGTTCCTATTTTAGTAATTTTAAGCAACTGATTTTATCATAATTTCACTATAAAAAACTCGTACTGCTCTCTGCGTTTCCTTTTTATTTAACGATATGCATATGAGAAACGCTTTTTATTGCAAGATTGTACGATTTCTATCAGTGAACAAAATCTTAAATCGCGTCAAACTGGAGAAGGGTTTCAGCCAAGGTGATTGATTTAACAGAAAAATATCAATGACGTAAATGCTCAAGAAACGTTTTCTAGGCATCGTAATCTTTGGCGCTATGGATCGCATATTCAATTAAAACATTACAGTTGGTCAATAGTCATACTGTCATTTTTAGAATATTTTTGCGTGCTTCCAGGTTCATTAGATTGAATGCACACAAAACCGATGATAGCTTGATAAAATTCATTTTATCCAAAGAAATACTTCACAGGTCCGGAACTTTCCACAAAAATATTCATACAGTTCTTCATAGTATCGCACAGTATACTCAGTAGTTACACTTCAAACTTATAAGAAGCAAAACGAAGCTCACACGGAGATATCTCAATTCCATATTTACGCTGAACTAAACAACAAACAACTAAACACCAGATGTTCTCTTCGGTCTTATATAGTTTTCAACTGGCCACCGAAAAATGTCTAGTACTTCTCGAAATTACTGAAAGGCATATATATGAGAGACGGATACAGTTACAGTTGCATATGAAATCAGTTACAGTTATTCAATTACAATAACTATTCTGGTGATACAGGGACCGGATTTCCCAATGTTGCCAAATGGTCGCCAAGTTTAACGACTTTTAGCGATCTCTCGCTAAATTTGGCGAAAAAATCAGTTTAAAAAACTGTCGCCAACTTGGGGATATTTCGCCAGATTAGTGAGATAGCCATTTACTCAATGTTAAAAAGACTTGCCCCTGTATTCTTATTTTTCTAGCAGAGCAACGTCTCTTTAGATTTTCATGTTACATTATACAGAAAAAATACAACAATTTCATATATAATTTTAAATTACTTATACGTGGAAAGAATTCGTAACAATATTTGTTCCAGAAATAGCAGCAACGCATACCAAAATGTAAGAGAAAATATTCAAAATACAATTTCCATTTCTTACATTTAAATTTTATTCGTAAAAATTAACAGCAGTTTTAGAAACATTACCGAGACTTTCCAAAACATGCATGAAATCAAAATCAAAACAGATATAATGAAAAATTTCTGAGAAAGAAATTTCAAAAACCATCGATAACACATTTCGAAAAATATAACAAAATACACATTTCTCCTTAAAACAGAACTCATCTTTTTTCTCTCTTCGCTAGTTACAGTCACAGTTACCGCTCGAACAACTTGAAAAGGAATGAGGTGGAAAATTTAATAATCTGTTATAACGATTTTCTCCGAAGTTTGTTTTAATTAATAATCCTTTTTATGAAAGCATTTTATTTTCATTTGAAAAAAAAAAATAAATAAAATCATGTTTATAAACAGTGATTTTAGAAAGTGAATCGCGATAATAATGCTTAATAGTTTAGACAGAAATATGATATTTTATTATTCTTTCACTGTGTCATAACTTATATTTTTTACTTATGTTTCGTAACTTATATATATTTTATTCTAAATTCATTTCTCTGAATATTTCCATGGAGTGAAGATGCGCAATTGATAAATTTTGGGCTTCTTTAATTTTTTTTATTCTTTATTCATATACAGTGATAATGCTAAAACTAATAGGAATTATATCCTATTTTAGAACTTCTAGAACGTATAAGAAATAATTTCTAGAACGTATTTAGAATTTAACTTTACCAGTGTTGTACATGACAGCTTTTACTTCCTTTTAATGAAACCGCACTTCTAGAGTGCTGTTAGCTATGCAATCCTTTGGCGTACAATCCATTTTGCTAAAATATGCTTGAGAATGTACTACAATTCTTCAATCGGATTTATGCCTGGTGGATTTACAGGCCAATCGAGCACAATAATTAATTTTTCAACGTGAACTCTCTGACAGATTTCGAATTGTGGCATGGAGTCAAGTCATGCTGAAACATTACTGCAAAGGTTTTCCAGAATGGCACAAAACTGTATTTTAAAATTTCTGAACACTTTCATGAAATCATTATTCCATCAATAGGAACTAGATTTGTGGAAAAAAAAAAAAAAAAAAAAAAAAAAAAAAAAAAAAAAAACCTAAACACTTTTAGGATATTTTATGGTTTGCTTGATATGTTGCCACGCGCTTATTTT